AGGATTATTATATGGCTTATATGCGGTTATTAACCTACCTACTAAGTCTCCCTGACCCTCCAAGTATGAATCTACTGAAAAGTTGACACTGGTAAGGGGGCCAGGGAACTGAACCGGTAGTTCAGGAGAGGAGAGAAGTCTGTTTTTTGTCAGGTCTTTTCGTCAGCTAGGCAGCTTAACAGTGTTACTACGTTGTTCCCAGCAGCCCGGCTTGGGGGAGACGGGCCGGAAGCTTGTTTCAGACCTAGTTACGCAAACACTCAACTTACCAGCATGCACCTGACACCCTACAGCCTAAGTCTTGCGTCGTAGAGTGCCTACCTGGTTCAGAGTGGTGGATGAGCTATGCCTCATCATCGAACTGCCTGGCAGTGTGGAACGCAGAATCCAGGCAGTTCAGCATCTTGCAAGAAGCCTCCAACAAAAAGGACTTTTCCTTTTTTTTTGTTTTCAAAGAAAAGGCAGTTGGTGCTCTAAGCTCTAGCCAGGCTGGAATGGCTCCTTACCTTGCATGGTGGTCTCCCAAAATCAGGGTATGCGTGTATGACCCCCCAATCTACTATATTTCTTCTCAGAAGGCACCCCCAAAATGGTGCCCCTAATTTTTTTAAAGCCCACATGTGCAAAGAAGCTGAGCCATTCAGCTGGAACTTAAAAATCGGGATATACAAGGATTATATGGCAATGGAAAAGAAAATGGAAACTACTATAATGGGTTATATAGGGGTTATATAGGGTTTGATATAGGGTTATATGGGTGGTTGTCAAAATTATGGTCCCTTTTTGGATCCCTATTATAATACGGCGCCTAATATTTAGGGTACCAAGAAGGGACCATAATTTTCACATCCACCCATATAGGAATTATACCAGCATACTGGAAAAAGAAAAGGGAAGCTACGATGTACACTCACCCGCCGATCTGTTTGCACAAGGGAGAGTGGGCACACAAACATACAGCCAGAAATCTTCAACCCTAAGCTGTGACAGCTCACAATATCACACCCTATAGTCCCCCGGCTTTGGAAGTATTATAAAAAGATCCCCATATACCCCATATTCTATCTACTTAAGGGGACTATAAACCTAAAACATTATTGAATCCGCGCAACATACGTAGCCATCACTCGAAGCGGATCACAAGGACATGTTGTAATGTAGCTAGATCCTGCTTCCAGAAGGCTCCATCAAGAGCGTACTAAGCGCTGCGCGTGACAAGGCTTTGCCCATCGTGCTGCTCATGTGGTTAGGTCTCAAGATAGGGGCACAATAAGCGACTTCAACGGATTTTGCGGGATGATTCCCTTGCCCTAGAGATCCAAGTAGACAAATATTACCTACGTTGGGCCCCAAAGTCTGTAAATATTACCTACATTGGGCTATTTGGACCCCTAGATTTGTGCCCTAAACTCTAAACCCTAAACCCTTGATTCCCTTGTGCTTCTTGCAAGCTGCCTTGGGCTTGTGCATTATTCCGCAGCGCTAGACAGCTGGCAGCCAGCCGTCAGTGGGGGTTGCCACTGCATGACTGCCAGCTGTCAGATGCTAGGAGCCCTGTTTGATTTGGCTAGGAGCATAAGTAAGTTGAATCTTTTGGGTGTATAGTACGTAATGATTCTGTGCAGGTTATGTAGCGGAACGAGATAATGTTAATCCCTCAGCCCTCAACCCCTAAACCTCAATGGGGTTGAGGGTTTGGAATGAACTTTTTTCGGGCTCTGCATGTCCTACGGCTATCCGTCGCCTGAAAATACATCTGGGGGTACAGCTTGGTCATTATAGGAATTTTTCAACATAGGCAAAGAGATATATCCCGATGAGGATATGAAGTTCGAATTGTTGCCTAAACTAGTCCCATCCCCGTAATGTTAAGTGAAGCCTGCCCCATTGACCAACATTCCCGGTATACTATAGTATACCGCAATGGCATTTAGGGGTGGGGAGTTTGGATATCAGGGGAGGGGATTAGCCCGATAAGGACCCCAACTTCAGACTGTGAAAAAACCCCGCCCCAGCCCGACACATGGGCATTCAGGTACTTTAGGAGCCTAGATCATTACTGATATTATTGAGGTTGGTTCTCGTAGAATTATAGCATGGGGTACTTCAACTAGACCTCAACACGCCAAACCTTACCACTCGCAGTCCTAAACCCTATAAAGCCCCAAACCCATAATCTTTGAACCTAAAGCCCTGAACCCAAAACCATCCTAAGCCCCCAAAACCCTAGAACCCTGGGTGGACGTTGCTGTTTATAGCTCCGCGGAATGTGCCAAAAAGCAGTCTCACGGACCGTGTCGAAGGGGGGCAACGTTTTAGGCTTTAGGGTTTAGGATTGAGGGTGTGGGGTTTAGGATTGAGGGTTTGGGGGTTTGGGGTTTACGGTTTAGGATTTGGGGTTCAGATTAATCAATTCAGATGGCTAGGGTTAGGTTTTATGTTTAATCAACTAGATAAGGTTTGGTTACGGGCTTAGGGTTGATAGTCCGCCTTAAGAAGATAGAATATGGGCATGTGGGTCTTAGTACGTTGTGGAGGAGTTCAAATTCTGTCTACAAAGGCGGCACTATAGGATTTTGGACTGTCACGATATCAATGTTGTGGGGTTGGAGGGTTTAAGGGTTTCAGGGTGTATAGTCCCCCTTAAGTAGATAGAATATGGGGTATATGGGGATCCTATTATGATATACCCAAAGCCATATTCTATCTACTTAAGGGGGACTTAGGGCTCAGCAAGGGAAAGGGGCCCTTGCAGGATGGAATTTAAGCTTAGGGGTTTCCCCTAGAAAGCCGAAAGACATGTATATATGGGTGGTTGTCAAAATTATGGTCCCTTTTTGGGGTACCCTAAATATTAGGGGCTGTATTATAATAGGGATCCAAAAAGGGACCATGATTTTGACAACCACCCATATCACCACCCATATCCATATCTTGATTAATTACTTGTAGCAGGTGCTGTGGGCCCGATGTGTTCTTTCAGAAAATCTGAGACCTAGTGCTACATATGTTTTGGGCACTTGGCTCCTTGAGGATAAAGTTTGTGGCTTATGAGGCTGAAGGGTTTCGGGTTGTCAGAGAGGAAGTTGGCCACGAATTTCGAGGTTCGTGAAACTGCGCGACAAGTGTGAGCACTTGCCGCTATTCGACAAGTGTTTTTTCTCTCCCAGCAGCCAGCCAGATAAAAGAGTCGCTGCTTGCCGTTTGTGTACGTTACCCAGCCAAATACGAAGATGAAAACCCTATTGAATTCCCTCTCAAAGGAAAGGTGTCTTGTGGGCGCCTTTTAGGGTTCCATGCCAGTTTGGGGAGGGGAACCAGTTTTTTTGCGGATTACTAATAACTTGGTGGGCTTGAAGTTGGAGTCGTCGAGATATTTGGGTTTATGGTTTAGGTTAGGAGGACCCCCCCACCCTGTAATAGTGGTATAATAAGAATATAAGAGGACCCTAATATAATCCCTATTATCCGTTATAGTCACTATTACAGGGTGTGGGGGTCCTCCTAAGGTTTAGGGCTTGCGGCATAGGGCTCAGGGTTTAGGATGAAGCCTTTCGGGCGCAGGGTCCGATTCGTTCATTCGGTTTTGGCTTGCAACATCCTTTTAGGGTTTAGGGTTTAGGGTCCTGAGTGCTATCATTTCTCAAGTATGCATATTTTGGGGCAGATTTCTAGCGTGGGGTTGATGGACAGAACCCGGCGTGACCAAAGTCTGCATGTTTGCGAGATGATGGTTGTTTGTACCCTGAATTGAGGTCCTATTACTACCGGAGTGTCGCAGTATCAAAATTTGGTAGTTTCCCAAAATTATGGGACCCCAATATGGGCCCCAAGTACTATAATCCTTATTATAAGGACCCCTAAAAGGGTACCCCTAATTTTAGGAAACTCCTATTTGATGCAATTTAATTTTGAGGAAGTTGGTGCTTTGAGGCTCCAAGTATGCTGAACTTGGGATGAGGTAGTCAAGGGCCCAGCTATGATCCCAAAAACTTGCATTTCCTTAAGTAAAAGGTTGAGAAAGAAGGTAATGCAAGATTTCCTGCCCAGTTCATCCACAGCACAGCATGCATGTCTGGCTGGGTTCGTCATGCTTTAACAAGAAGAGCCTTACCACCTAATAACCCGAATCATTCTCATCAAACAGATAATTAGCCCCCAAGTCCGTGTCTAGTACTTGTGTTCTCTACTTTGGTGAGGCCCGATTACACAGAATGAGATCCATCTGGGCCGTACGGTCAGATAGCCTCTGCTCAAAATCCAACTCACGAATTCCAAAGTTCGGAATGGGAACATGGTGAAAGGATTGTGTATACTAGCTTCTCCCTCTTCCTGGGTCTTGAGGTAGGAGGATACTACTGTTCTGGCTTCTGATGTATCCCTTTCGAACCTGACGGGTTTCTGGTTCCCGATATGCCGTCTAAGGGAGAAGCCTTGGGCAAGGAGGAGCCAGAACCCCATGCACCCGGGTGCTAACTCTCATGGCACAACATGACATGCTTGACGTAAACCCCCGATTGAAAACAACAAGTCACGCGGTTTAGGGTTTCAGATTTAAGTTTAAGGGTTTAAGTTAATTCCTAGACTTGCAGCATACCACAGCAAGAGGCAAATCCCTATGCCCTAAACCCTGATTTCAACCCTCAACCATGAGGCGGAAACCTTAATGCCTTCAGCCTATAGATTTGGGGCTTGAGGTTCTTTCCGGGGCAAACCAAGGCCCCAGAACCTTCAATCTCACGGAGAGAACATCACGTGCATGATGTTTTGACTTTGTCGTTAAGTCTACTTATTATCCCCAAGAACCCCACTTGTAGACCCATGAGCCTTGTTACTACGGAGACTTATTGGTCAGTGATCATCCACGTAAAAACCCTGAACCCCACTTCCTAGAAATCCGTATATTTCCGCCATATAACTATATTATATATATATATATCTCCCGTGCACATATCTATATATCCCGTACTTAAGCCTTATATCCGAGATCCTTCAAGCAGGCCCTGTTCCTTCTGCCACGCCAGCCTCCCGGATGGCACGGCTGAAGCGCCGGAAGGAACCACGCGGTTCAGGGTGTTAACCCTAAACCCTGAACCCTAAACCCTGAACCCTTACTATAACATACCCGAAGCCATATTCTATCTACTCAAGGGGGACTATATCTGATATTCCCCAGCCTGCATTCCAAGCCCTATAGCCTTAGCCCCTGCTACGAAGTAAACCAATTAAGTCAAGAGTTCATCCAACTATGCTTGAAGGATGAAGGGTCTAAACCGGTCTACACGCTTGGGCCATACAAGCGGTTAGAGGTTTAGGTCTTGAGGCTTAGGTTCAGATTTTTCTCTATAGTCACCTTATTGAGATGGATTCGAGATTGAAGGCTGAGGGTTTACAGGATCTTCCTGATCTTCAGGTACCTCAAGCTGTATACTGTTGCACTTCGGCCAAGATATTCCCAGCACTGAAGGAGTGTTTTGGTTTGGGGCCCCCAATTGTTAGGTAGGTATACATACGAAAGTGGGTGCCACACTGTAAGTTTCCTGCACTCTTGCAACTTCAATTTTAATAATATGTCTTTATAAAAATTTTCCAATACCGTCAGTACAGATCCCTTTACATGTTTACGCTTGGTATTTGGCTGAGTAGAGCAGTTGTGCTTGCCGCATTCCACAAACTGCGCCCCCAGAGGAGCTTTACTTGCAGGGAGTTGGGTTTTGACCTTACAGGGGGTCAGCGCACGTACAGGAACGTTCAGTTGCGCATCCTTGATTACCACGAAGCTGCATGAGATGAACTGCACCCCAATGGCAAAACCAATCTGCCATCCGAGATGGAGGATAGTAATCTTGATCAGGCCTTTTCTTGTGGGTTCCATGTTACCTTGGGAAGGGAACCCTTTGGATTAGCGCAAGTTTTGAGTGTGGGTTAGGGCATGCGGTCGCTGTTTCTGATACGTCCACGCGGCTTCTGCTAGCAATGGGAGAGGAAGCCCCCTAGGAAAAGTGTTGTTAGAGCACACTAACAGACAAGGACCGGACAAAGACCGGATTCCACCTTCTCTGGTCTAGAGGGGGGTTTCCAACAATAGGGGTACCTTTTGGGGGGTCCCCATAATAAGGATTGTAGTATGCCGGGTCCTTCTAACTTGTGGAAACCGCCATTTGATTCTACGCTAATTCGAAGTTCAACTTGTTCTGTTTATGATAATCCTTGGGGAGTGCAAGAATGGAAAGAATGGAAGCTACAATATGAATCTAGTTTGGGTACTGCCTCCCCCAGTAACAGTCTATATTAGGGGTCCTGTTAAGGGCTATATATAACCACATTATAAGTATTATCCAACTGTTACTAAGGGGGGGCAGTACCCAAAATCCAGTCAATCTATTCCTCTATTCCTGACCACCAAAACGTTCGGGGGACGCGGCTGCGCGCAGCAGTCAGGAGTTGTGCGACAGTCTCAGCACAGTCCCTCGGCCGCAGTCTGGTTCTACCAACAACAGGTTTTTGGTAACCCTAATGGGAACACAGGTACCATTAGCGGGGATTATTCTGTTAACAAGGCGGGTTTGGTAACCCAAAGGGTGTGAAAAGAACCCGGTAGAAGTGTCCTTGTTTGGTGGTTGGGCTAAACCTTATAGGCCTGAAGCCCTATCGGTTCTGCCTCCAAAACACTCATGCAATCCTCGGAAGGCTCCCCCAGAACTGGCTTTTCATTGCTTGTCATTTTACACTTGTGGGAGCTGTGGATTGAAGCTTCGTTGGAGGGACCTGTAGGGGAATGTATAGGGAGCGTAGTGGAGACCTTCAAGGAAGTTAAAGTATGACTTTTGTCCAGACTCATGTGAGCCTGAGCCCAATTCAGATTGAACATGGTAATGTCTAAAGCAATGCCTGAGCAACATAGAACACAGTCCATAACTAACCCTAAACCCTACACTCTAAACTCTAAAGCCCTAAGCCCCTAAACCCTAAGCCCGGTTTTCGGATGTATGCATGTCCTATGAGGTCTAGCTCCCTTTGGTGGATCAGTGTGGAAAGGGCGCCAAAGTTGCAAACACCCAAGCAGGCTAAGGAGCTTAAATCATTAGAAGAAAGTTTGGGGATACTTGCGCCGCCACAACAATCGTTCGCTTCAACTCATTCAGTCGTTCACCCGCCGATTTGCCCCTCTACCATTGATTCAGCCGCACCGCCATTCCCTAAGGAATTGGCTTCAATCGTTTGAGCACGTAATCCCAAGGAATTATGAATTAGAGTTTGATATTACAAGTCCAAGGCTAGGGGGAATATCGTGCAAGACTAGGCTTGCAGCCATTAAGGAGGGCCCCGAAGTCCAAGCTACAACAATTCGTTCCATTTTCCTACGAGCCCCGAACCTCCAAGCTCCTGCCAAAACACAGTCAGCTCTACCCTCAGGGTCCAATAACTTAAGCAGTCGGTTATTCAAGTCGGGTTCCCATGCATAGCAGTAGACGTTTTCGGCGGCCTGAGCTGTAACCCTAAACCCTAAACCCTAAACCCTAAACAGCTGCTTGGACCCTGAGGGCTATAGACCCAAGGACATCAGCAAAGACCTGGCGCGGCTTCTCCAAGATCAGCCGGGCTCCGAGCGCAGTCTCAAACTTCAGCGGTCTGGGCTTACTGGAGATGTCAGTACTACTCGTTCTTCATGTCGCTTGTCTGAATGAGAAGCCCCTACTAACCGCAACCTCTATTTAAAAAAGCCCTATAAGCATCAAAAACCCCATAAACCCTAAACCCTAGAGTCATTTGATGTAGTCATAGGGGCCTTCTTTGTCAGGGTGAGCAGTTTTGGGCACAAAAACCTTGACGTTGAGTACTGCAAACCTTTTTCCCTTGCACATACATGCATACCCCATGCCTCCCTGTAACCGGGTTAAGGGGTCCTTAAGAGCCTGTCGTCTTGAGAAGCCCATCCATATGACACTCAACAGGCTATCTCCGGCTGACAAGGCAAAGCGCCCGCGGCCATGACGAAAGAAAAGATCCTTCTCAGGGATTTTAGGGTTTAGGGTTTAGGGTAGTTTCCCAAAATAGGGGGGGACCCCAATATAGACCTCAAAATATTATAATCCTTATTGTAAGGACCCCCAAAGTAGACATAGGGGGACCCCAATATAGACCCCAACATATTATAGTCCTTATTATAAGGGCCCCTAAAATGGCACCCCTAATTTTAGGAAACTACCATATAGGGTCAGAGATTCTAGGGATGGGGTTTAGGGTTTAGGGTTTAGGGTTGGGTTTACGGGATTTTTAGGGGTTAAGGCTTAGGGAACATTGCTTGTGAAAGGTTTGGGGCTTCCGGTTGGGTGATTGGGGATTGAGGGTCGTAGGGATTGGGTTTAGGCTTTAGGGGGTCTACACTCCCCCAAAATAAGCCAGCAACCCTAAACTAGGATTTAGGGTTTAGGGTTTAGGGCCTAAAAATCCTGAGCCCTAAGCCTTGCTAGGTGCTCATTGTACTGGATCAATTTTAGGGATCTTTTAAAGGGATTCATGGGGTTTGGGAGTCCGATAGCTCGCTGCTTCACGTTTTTTGGTAAAGCCAACTGGCTGGGTGGTCTACTGTGGATCCAAGGACACGCCCTTTGTACTTTTTGGGGTATGGGGTTCCTTACATTTGTGTAAAAAGTATCTTTTTCTCTTCCTAGGCTAATGTGGGCTCAGTGTAGATGCCAAAAGCCTCATTTGCTTGAGGCTCAGGGTGATCTTGATCGCTTCCCCTATTTGTAAGCCCGCCGCAACACATACTCCGTGCGGATGCCAAAGATCCTTGAGCACTACCTTTGAAAGGGCCAGACTATCCTAGGAGGGGGAAACTACAGGTACCATGAGCCATGGTTCCATTATGGTCCAATGGTCATAGTCGGGTTGTACGCACTTTGCAAGCCCTATTTTGTACCTTATATGGACCTTTTCATAGTCCCTTGGAATGAGGCTTCAATTGGCCGGAACCGCCAAGATTGCTCACTTGTACAGCGCTTGCAGCTCTATGCAGGGTCGACCTCTCATCTTAGACACCCACCCTAAGCCCCTAAACCCTGAAC